CCCCAAAACCCCAAAACCCCAAAACCACAATTACAGAATTAGTTGAATTGTTTGAATAAAAGGTAAAATAACAAATTAATTGATAGATTTTTTTTATTAAGAAACATATTTAAATCATTAAATTAAATATCAATTCAGTCACTATTCATTTAATTTATTTTAGCTTCAATCACTTCATCATCAGCCACTTTTTCAATTTTGTCATCCTTGTTTTCCTAAATTTCATGATTTATTTATTCAGCCTTATTTTCACTTGGTTTTTCAAGAATTTAGATAATTTCTTGCTTAATTGGTTTATCATTTTAAATTTCCTTTAAATTTTCAATTTTTTCTTTTTCATCATCCTCTTGGATCTTTGATTTTTAAGCAAATTCCAAATTTCTATTTAACTATTAATCATTGGCTTCATCTTATTATTCAATCAGAATTTTCTAATTACTTTCAATATTTATTAATGGTTCTTATGGCATATCTTAATTAGAATTATTACTATTATTTATTATATCTTCCTCAGTTTTAAGTTCTTCCCCCCCAATATTGCCTGATAATTGATTCTCTGCATCCTTTTTTTCTTCTTCTGTTGCAGCCTAGTTAGAATCATCCAATTTTTCATCAATTACTTTATCTTTCTAATTCTCGTCTGATTTTTCCTGTAATTGAGACTCATTAGTATTTTAATGATCAATAACAAGTATGGAAGCTTATTCTTAATCACTATTCTAATTATCCTTGGATAATTCATTAGAGACCACCACTTCTGATTCTTGATTTGATTCTGTATCTTGTATATTATTATTAAGATCCTTTTATTCCTCCTCTATGACTAAATTTTCCTCTTTTATTTAATTAATCTAAACTTTTAACTCTTCTTCATTCACAGTTGAAATATCCTATGTTTAACTATTATCTAGCTAATTTTTAAATTTCTGAATTGAATTATCTTCTAAAATTTTTGTGGATTCATTATCTTTAATTTAAGAATTACCTATTAATTACTCATTAGAATTAGGATCCTATGATTATATTTCAGAATTATTTTAATGAGTCTAAAATTCATTGCTATTTCTGATTCCATCTAAAGATGCCGCTTTATCAATTTCATCATTTTATTGTATAGTATTTTATTAGCATTCCTATACTTATTTTTGCACTTCCTACTATTGGGGATCACTACTAGTTTTCTCTAATTGAGATTTTAAATTCTCGTCTTCCTTATCATGATTAATGTTAGTTAAGTTTTACGGGATAACTTAATTTTGGCCTTCGTTATCAAGGAGATCATTGCTAGTTGAGTCCTACTACTGAATCAATTATTCTTGGGCTATCTTATCAAGGAGATTACTGCTAGTATTCTCTTATTGAGTTTTTTATTCTTCGTCACTTTTATAAAGGGGATTACAGCTAGTTTCCTCTTATTAAGATTTTTAATCCTCCTCTTTTTTATTAAGTTGATCATTGCTAGTATTCTCTTGTTTAGTAGCCTTTTAATCTGTTTCTTACGTATCAAAGATGTCACTGCTAATTTTCTCTAATTATTGAGCCTTTTATTATTCTCCTTGCTTATCTACAAAATCTCTGCTAGTTTAATCCAAATTAGTCACTTATTTTCCTCCTTCTTTATCTTAGACATCAATAAAAGTTTTATTGTTCTGATTATCTTATTCAATCAAATCATTACTATTAACTTAAGTATTTTCAGTTTAAATGTTCTCTTTATTTTATTTTGAAACAGCTTAAATATTTTAGGTCTCTGAAACTGAAATTATGTCCTATATTGGATTATTATTTACTTATGATTCTTGCTACATAGCTTAACAATCTGAATTTTTAATTTGATCATTAATTTCTTCAGTCTATTCGTTATCTTAACTTGATTTTATGTTTGAAACAATTTCTTAAGGTATGTTTTCTTCCAATCGACTTGATTTTTAGTCATTAAGTTCATAACTCTTTTATTCTTCATCAATTTGCTATTTTGGCTAGTTGTCTTTAATATTTTCTATTCTTACTTTCACTATTGCTTCATCAATAATTTATCTTTAATTATCTGGTATCTGCTCATTATTAGACCTACTGATTTATTCTTTTTCCAACTTTTACTAGCTTTCTATATAATCTTTTATAATTTTCTTTTAAAGGTCCTCAAATGTTAATGTTTATGTTTAAACCTCCTTGAAAATAGTATTATGTTTTTAGCTAAATTATTACTGACCTATCTTATTTTAATACTAGTTTGAATTAAAGTCTTTATTGTTGGAGAGATTAGCATTCTATGATATTTAATGAGTTTTATTATTATTAGAACCATTATTACTGCTAGAACCATTTCTATGATCATTATTTTACTAATTTTACTTCTGCTAGTTATTATTAATGCTTTTCTTTTTTCCTGATCCTTCGTTATACGTGCCAGTTAAAGGCACACATTAAAGTCTCTCACTGAATCTCCATTTAATTTCCTTTGTGAAATATGACACAGTTTCTTAATCGAAGTTTGTGAATCTAATCACTCTTAAGCTAGTATCATTTTAATCATTCTAAAAGCAAAAGTCCTCAGCAGCTCTGAATAAGTGAGCAGCACATAAGTCTTTAGGGAATCCATAGATGCCAGAAGATATAGCAGGGATTGAAACAGATTTGCAGTTTAACTTAGAAGCAGTCTTCAGTGTATCCGTAACACAGTCATACAACAATTTTTCATCATCTCTTTTTCCCTGTGAACAAGATTTAATGGTAATTTTAACTTACATTAGTCCAAATTGGGCCGACTGCATGAATAACATATTTGCAATTTGTCATATTTCCTGCTTTTGTGACTGCTCTGCCTGTTCCTGTTTCTACTTTACCATTTTAATTTACCCATAAGTTTGATTCATGCTGAATTGAAGGACCACCCTTTTTAGCGATGGCAAAAGCAAGTCCTCCTGAATGAGATAAAAATTCATTGGCAGCATTTGTAATTGCATCAACTTGCTCGTTAGTAATATCCCCTAAATTTACTGATACTTCAAGCCAGCCGCCAAGCAAGACCTTATTCTACCCTTTCATTTAGTATGACAATGTGTCTTCTTCATAGTTGTTTTCTCTATATTTAATTTCCTTCTGTGATGATATGCTGCTGATAGCTCTGTACTGGTAATTTTGCTTTTTATCTTCATAATCCTCACCTAGAATTCTATTTTGATTGATATTTTGCTAAAAATTTTTTGCCATAAAACTAGCATCTTTTTGAATATCTTTCGCTTTTGCCTAACTCATCATCTGATCAAATTAGGTACTAGACATTGTTGTTTCATTATGATCTGAGTTTTCATTTGACTATTCTTGTTATTAATGCTAATTGTGTTAAATCATCTCCTCATCCAGTCTATCCTAGACCGAATAAACTTATCTTTGATTGTTTGAGTCTGAGCTGGTTTTATCATTTTGCCTTTATTCTTCTAATATTAAACATATTAAGTGAGAAATTTATTATTACGATTCTTTTAGACTTTTGGATCGCTTTACTAGTTGCCAGTTATTATCTTAGTACCTTTGTTCTTGTTCTTGTACTTTCCCATTTTTGCTCAAGTTTTCTATTCAAGATTTGTTGCTTTAATATTTAGTATTTTAATTTATAATTAATAGTACTATTATTTCACAAATTTAAATATTTCATTTTTAAGGGGTTTTGGGGTTTTGGGGTTTTGGGG